GGGAGGTGCCAACCCCTTTGCTATTATTTCTTGAATTTCTCAAGAAATTCATGACTACTTTTTCTAACTTTTGATATTCAACTCGTGCTTGAGTGCTTTGATCTTCCTCTTCACCAACATCAACCCATTGTTTTTTCCTCTTAGATGAAACACACTTAGCTTCACAAACATGTCTTAGTATTGTAGTTTTCACTTCTTTAGGAACATTAACACAAGCTTCAACATCTATTTAAGTGCATGCTAGATTATATTTGAATCTGTAAATACCTCCATTGACAATTTTTCCACAATAGTTACACTTTACTTTTTTGCTATTTCCATCAACATCCATCTCATGTTTCCATCCTATATCAGATCTATTACCCAGATAGTTCTTTCTTACAGTAGTAACTTTTTTCCAGTATTTTTTCTTGCACTTGAAGACATCTTTAATTTAATATATCACCTACTTAATAATTATTCAAAATAAATTATAAGATTAAAAAATGAACTAGAGATTAAATAATCATCAAACTAACAATTAAGCAAAAAATTTTATGTAAAGTAAATTGTAACACCTCACATGGTTATATCAATATACGCGATAAAATATTTCATTTAAAATTTCATACATATTTCTAACACTTCAAACAAGTCATAATTTCAAAACATTTCTAACATAACTTAACAAAATAAACTATTGAAGTCTTATAGTCATGACAAATAAAAATATAACATAACATGTGTTTGATAAGCACAGAAGCCTTCCCGGCTCACTCTATTAGTGCCTTCCCTTGATTCCTATTAGGTCCTTCATCTAAAAATTGTTAATATAGGGGGTGAGATCAAACATCTTAATAACTATTGAAATTCTAACCTATACAAACAAACCATATATGATAAACCAAAAATCCGTTTATGTGTGTGTGTGAGTGACAGATTTGATACATTCAACTCAATTTCATTTTTGATTCAACAACATACCAATATCATTTTTCCAATATATCCAAAAATAATACAATATGCTACCTCTCTTATATCACTGTCCAGCCTTATACCGCTGACTGGAGCCATAGGCTAACATATAGTCTGATAGGAACTAATCTATTTTACTGAATTATTCCAAACTCACAGATACTAGAGATATATCCAACCAAAGATATAGAGTTCAAGTTTCGACTATAGCTCCGCTCCTTTGCAAATAAAAATAAAGAGGTGTTACATGTCCCACAGTTCTAAGGAATTCCCAGTCAAAGGAAAACATGAAAGAAGGGGTCCTGACAAGTGCCATCTACTATGCACCGAGTGATGGCATATCACGTGGTAATTTTATATCCAAGCAAATCTCCTTCTATCCTTAACCCAACAATGCGTATGCCAAATGCAAATAATGTTACATCATAAATACTTCCTCAAATATATTATTAAAATAAGATAGCAATATAATTTATGTACCATTTAATAGCAACTCATGACAATTCCATAGCCATCAATATATTTAAATATTGATCATAATTAATAGCAATAAATCTTAACAAAATCAAATAACATATCAAAATGTTTATTTGAAAAATCATAATATTATATTTTAATATGATATAAAAATTAGTAAATCCACAATATAATCATATACAATTCATATGCACAAGAAAGAATTTTCAGAGTTATCTAGTACCCCATCTTACAAATATTTACAAAGATTACTCCAAAATTCTCAAGAATCTATAAAATTACACATAATTATTTATTAATATAAACTCAGAACTACTCCAAAACTACTCTAAAATTCTAAGACTACCCTCTAAACTAAAAATATATTGACTCTCCCAAATTTTGCTATTTATAATAGATATAATATTATTTTGACAATAAAATTTTCATATAAAACTATTTAAATTTAATAACTTAATTAAATATATCTTTATTACCCAGTATATAAATATTTTATATTAAAATTCTCAATTATTTATTATAATCTCATTTAAAAAATTTTCTCAAATCAAACAACTTCTTTAATTTATAAACAAACGGTAACTTTATCTAATTTCACAAAATTCTCAATTTACAATTTTTCAAGCCTTCAAAAATTATTTCAAAAATATATCTTTAACTTATTCAATTTTTAACTTTAGTTGTTATTTGAACAAGTAAAGTTATGTCTTGGTCTGAGTGGGAATAACATTTCTCTTCTGCATATCCATGGAGTTTTGAAACCGATTAAAACCTCAATAATATATTAAATAACTCAAATAAATTATTTAAATTAAATTTAATCGGTAAAAATATTCTATATCTTTGAATAGCAGATTTTTCAACTAAAATCTCAATTTAAAATTCTCAAAATAGTCATTGAGTAAATATAAACCGATTAAAATTCCTTAATAATATATTTTTAAATTTTTATGGTAATATATTGTCAAAACTTCACATTTACTTCATATCCAAACGGTAAATTTCTCTCTAAACAGTATAATGATACTAATAATACGAAGTCATAAATATATAGGAAATATTCATAGAGAAAATCTAACAAAAAGAAGTAGTTTTGTGTACCTAAATGATTTTTAAAACTTGTCATGTACTCTGCCGCTCAGTTTACTTGCTCTCTTTTCCTCTTGCTCTCTCTTTCTCTACTCCTCACACCCAATGAAGGGAAGGCAAATGTTGTAGGTATTTAATATCCTCACATTTAATTCTTTTCCTCAATTTTCTTCTGCCTATATCTCATCCTATTTCTCCTCCAGCCATCCCTCACTCCTTTTTTTTCTTTTGCATTAATTACCCCTTTCCACTCTCCGTGAAAAAAGGTGGGGTAGGTTTTTTTTAAATAAAATAATAACAAAATATTATTTTAATTAATTTAATAATGAATTTTTTTTCTTTGACCAATTTTTTATTATTATTATTTTTTTAAGCTTAAGTTTTTTTTTTGTATGTTACATAAATGATTTGTAAAGTGAAACCAAATTTATTTATTTGATATGAGCCTATTTTTGTCAAATATCAAATGAAGTAGTTAGAAAGAATTATAAAAATATGATAGTTTCAGAAATCCTATACCCAAACCATAACGTCTAATAGCCAATGTTCAAAAAACCGGACTGGACCGGCCGGTTCAAACCGGAAATCGGTGAACCGGCTATTTGTCCGGTCTGGTTCACCTCTTGAACCGGGAAGAATCTAAACCGGTGCGACCCGGTCAAAACCCGGGTAACCGTTGGGTTTGGTGGGTTACCCGATTCACTTTGTGGGGGGAGAAAAAAACGCAGAGCTCAAAAAAGAAGGAAGGGAGTCAGTGAGTCACCGGAAAAGAAAAGGAGTGGAGGAAGAGAAGGAAGTTTGAGAAGGAGAAAGAAGTACTCCGATGAAGATCTACGTAGCTAGAAAGCCATGAATCAAGTACTCCAAGCAAAAGTTGATGAAGAAGTTCCATATTGGTTCAAACAAGAAAAATGCCTCGGTACTTAACGTGAAGAAGCTAGATGAAAAAACCAGGTCTACTGCTCTAGAGAAGATATTGACAGAGGTAAAGGTAGCTATACAAAAGGCTAGATCAGAGAAGATGTACCAGGCAGATCGTGCAAATGCTTATCAATACACCCAGGAGAATAAAATGGGCTCTGCGCATGAAACTCAGGAAAAAAAGTTGTGGTTTTCTAATGTGAATCACGGAATTGGGAAGATAAACTCATGGAACAAGAAAAGAGGAAGGCTGAAGCAATTATGGCTAATCTGTAGCTATGAGCCTATGACATGTCTTGCATCATTTTAGGTTTTTTAATTGTTATTATTTTGAAAGTGCAGCACGTGATCCCTGATCTCTCCTCCTCTGATCCTTTACATAAAAATAAAATATTAATATGACATGTTCTTCTATGAATGCATTAGTTCTTTTGTAGTATGTAATATTTTTATTATTTAATATGGTAATTTGTAAATATTATTTTATTTTTAATTAAAACTGGTTTAAATCCGGTTCAACTCCGATCTGACCCATTAACCCTTAACCCATTGTCTTGACCGGTTTAGTGACCGGTCCGGTTTTTTGTACATTGCTAATAGCATTCGTTAAAAAAAAAACATCCAATAGCATCGGAATAGTGCTATGAAAATATATAATATACTTAAATTGTTGAAAAGCAACAAAAAATTGAATATAGATAAAAAATTTTATCTTACTTTATGTCCTTTCACGCTGCAATAGTAAAGAGGGAAAGAGAGAACTTATTCAACTCCACGTGCTTTCACAGCCCTACTTAGACAACTAAACCAAAAGATGAATAAATTGTTTGTCAGATATTCAAACACTCAATAACTTTTTGTTCTTTCTTTAGCTTTAACTGACATAAAATATAATATTTTATTAAAAAGGTATATCACTTACTCTAATAGTTTTACTCTCTTCTTAATCTCTGTTTTCCCTTCAAACTCTTTTTTCTCTCTTGTATCTCCGTCTTCTCCTCTTCTTCCTCTTTGTCCTTTCATCTCAGGTTTTGAGAAAAACAAACAGGAGAGACGCAAGGGAGTGGAGATGAAAAAAGAAAAACCGTTACAATTCACAAAAACTATTTTTCTTCTTTCTCTCTTCTTCTCTTTTCCTTCTCTTCTTCGAATTATTACAAGTGAAGAAGGAAAGCTTTGAACTTGAGAACGATGCTGGCGGCACAGAGTCGATGGGTTCAAAATAGGACAATCAAAAGTAATTCTTTTTAAAAAACTTTATATTAATTTTTGTTTTCAATCTTTCTTTTTCTAAACAAATTTTAGTATTTTACTATTCAAATTTTTGGCTCGCTTAACTCAATTTTAAAACAGTGATTTGACCGAGTTTAACCGAGTTTATGTCTAGGACAATTCTATAAGCGAATTAACTCGATTTCTATGGTTTAAAACGTGAACTCGGTAAACTCAGTGAGTTGACTCGCGAGTTGACTGTGAGTTAGATGGAGCCTGTATACAGGTCTCTTTTGTAGAGTTTTTGTTGAAGAGTGTGTGTGTCTGTCTAAGCACATAGGAGAGAGATGAATTTAGTTGGGGAAGTTGAGAAGAACGAGGCAATTAGGAAAATGCGCCTTGGGGTAAAGATGCGAGATTGGGAGGCTGTGCTGCGCACAATGAGGCGTCTTCCACCAGATGCAGAGCTGTGGCGGGCCAAGATGAACAAGTGGGGCTGACACTGTACTGCACGCAGCTATCATTTATTGGACACCTCTCGCCATCATCAGTGAGCTGTTCGTTGAAATGCGCAGATGTGACCAAAAAGACGTCCTGGAGATTCTGTCAGCCAGGAATCAGTGGGGCAACAATCCTCTTCACTGCGCCGCCTCTACGGGCTCTTTCTTCTTGTGCGAACGCATCGTTGGTGTCCTTTCCACCGCAGAACAGATAAGCCGCCCCGTAATTAATTAATCTCTTTTATTGACTACATTATCTGTTTTTAATTAAAAAGATGCTTCATGATTCTTTTTTTTAAAATATTTTTTGACGATATTAATGGTCTGACTAAAATATATATTTCTAAATTTGAGGGAAAATATGTGTAATTAAAAAAAATAAAATAGTGGTGAAAATATTTCACTCTAATTATTAACGTTGCAGAGCGTAACTAGCATAGAGAGGGGCAAGGGGCATCCATCTCTAGGCTTCAACTTTTTAAATGTTTTTTCCCCCCTATTCATTATTAGATTTTACAAACAGTAGGTGACATTCTGATATCTAATGTATGTTGCAGTTTTGAATTCTTCACAATTTATATATATTAACTGTGCAGTTTTAGATATTTTTAAAAAAATCATTAAAAAATTAGGGTTTATTATACAATCTTTTATCCTTTAGGTTTGTTGTTATTTTGGTTTAGGTATCTCAAATTTTTTTTCATTTAAAATATTGATCCCTATAATTCAATAAAAATTTAAACTATCAGTATGACCAAAACCTATGAATGAGAATAAATTTAAGTTACCAAAGATTATATTGGCAAAAAAAATTTAAAGTTGCATTATTTCATAATATATATTGGGATGTCACTTATTTTATATAAAATTTAAAATTTATTGATCATGATGATATTGAATGTTGATTATTAAGGTTATGGAGCGTAACAATGAGGGAGAGACGCCTGTGTTCTTGGCTGCTGTTCATGGTCACTGGGAGGTCTTCCTCCTTCTTAATTTATTTGTAGAACTTGAGCATGCCACAACTGCCTATGTGAAGTCCAATGGGGATTCGGTACTTCACTTAACCATTCAACGAAAATACTTTGGTCAGTGATTTTACTTACTTTAAAAATAAGTTAGTTAATTAGGTCTTCTACTCCCTTCACTTTAAAATGTAAGTTACTTTTTTATAAAAAATTTTAATCCATAATATAAATTATTTTGAGAATAATTAATACTTATTTGCTAATTTTATCCCTTTAATTAATGCTTAAATATGACTCCTCATATTTTTCTCTCTTTCTTTCAAAACCTTAATATGGATAAAAGGGATCGGAGGGGGAAAATTTCAATCGAAGACGGGTTTACTTACAAGCTAATTGTTCTTTCATAGTTCTGATAATGACAGTTGGTTAAAAAGGACTTGTATATTTTGGACTAGGGGTATTGTTTGTTTAGGACCGCATAGAATAATACTTTATTCAAAATTATATTCTATGATGGTTTAGTTGGTCAATGAAATCCTTTGCTTGATAAATAGTATTCGATTATATACTACTTTCGATCTTAATATAAAAGTTAGTTAGATATTTAATTAAATACTAATTAAATATAAAACTCAAATATATTTTTTTCTAAATATTTATTCTTATTTGCCCTTAAAATGGTGATTGTACGTGTTAAGGAGTTACTATTATAGTGCGAACGCACATGACTAATAGAGTTATTTTAGAAAAAATAATATATATTTATTATAAATAACTAATTTAACTGATTTTATAATATTCATGAATTAGTTAGTTATCTAGCTTTTCATAGTAATATAATTGAATTGAATTGATCACTAATGCAGAATTATCATTACTAATAATGGGTTACTTCCCCGCGCTGGTTTCCATCATCAATGAAAAAGGGCAGGCGCCTCTGGACATCATGGCCTCTACTCCTTCGGCATTTAGGAGTGGCACTCACCTTAGTTGGTGGGAGAGTCTTTTCTACCCCTGCAAGTGCGCCCACCTCGATCATCCATCTAGAATTGTAATTAATTTTTTTTATTTAGCTTTACTTGTATTAATTAATTATTATCTCTCATTCTTAATATAAAAATTACTTAACTAATTTAAGTAGAACAAAAAATTTTGGTTTAGTTAATTATTTATAACAGATACGAGATCATTTTCTTAAAGTACCCTTTTAATATAATCATGATTATCTTTGGATGAAAATCTGTTAATATAAATACTTTAAAGAATGAATTACAAATTTAAGAAGAAAAAGTGAACTGAGGTTAGGATTCCTTGCTCGGGATCATAATTTTGTATCCCCACCTTCTCTCCTCATGCGAAGTCATATCTGATGTGGCTGCTCATTCAGATTTTTTTTTTTTTTGCCAAGTTGGATACAGTAATGGATGATAAGGATAAAATTTCTAAAGGGAGTTTTTAATTTTTTGAGTGAAAAAATTTGTGAAAGAAATTAACATTACATTTTAAAGTCAGTTGAATATTTAGAAATTGAGTCGTAGAGTGATAATTAAAGTATTGGTGATGACTGCCTTAAAAGTTAAAGCTGCGAAGAAGATTAAAGAGTTGTTTGGGTAAGAACAAAACCATAGTTTTAAAAGTACTTTTACGGCATACAAAACAAATATGTAGAGAAATTTGTTTCGATTTGTGAAAAAGTATTTCTGAAAAGCACTTTTAGAGTTAGCCAAACACCCCCTAATTTTTCTTAATTAAAATGACGTTGCTGACGTAATGATCATACTCTTATTTCCGAAGTCATCCTGATTCGTCCCCGGTGTCCCCGGCGTTCCTGGCGTTCGTATAGGGAGCAAGAGCGTGATCAGCTTCCCACCCATGAAGCTCTTTTCGGATTCTCCTTTTTAAGGAGTACCATCGGTAATTAATTATTAATTTTAATGCTTAATTAGATCTTTTCATTTACCAATATTCGACTCCTTATTCTAAGTTGCTTATAGAAGAAATATTTTTAGTTCGAAACATAAGTTCATTTAGCGGGTTGTTACTTACTAATAATTATTTTTTCAATCTTACTCTTATCTAATTATCATTGGAAAGAAAAGAAAGAAAGAAAGAAGATTCAGAGTCAAAACTTATTTATACATACAGGGAGAGAATTTTAATAAGAACAAACTTGAAAAAAATTGTCAATTTGAGACATATTTAGTTATAATTTAACTATGCGTGAAAATTAGTTGAAAAGGATCTACATATGGTAAGTAGGAGGGCTTGTTTGGAATTATGATCATAAGTACTTTTAATCATACATCATGTAAGTCAAAACAAAACTTCTCACATATGCTCACCTCGTATTTTATAAATCACAATTAAGAAGTGGCTGAAAAGCTTAATATGTCTGTCCATGGTTGGCAGAGAAGAAAAGAAGACATGTATTTGGTTCGCGGATCATGAAACAACTGCTAGACAACGACGCTTTTTATGATAGTTTGATGGAGAGGGACCTGTTGGGGATGGACGACGATCATCCGGCGAACTTAGCAATGCTGCGTCCTTCACATAAAGGTACTTGGATCTTAAAAATAAATTAAAAAAATTACTTTCTTTAATTAATTTTATTATTTTTGTTTACATGTGGGTAACTGATAATAAGTATGTATGCGCATGCAGCATCATCATTTTTAGGATGGACACCATTGTTGAGAGCAACAAAATATGGTGCAATCGAAATGGTGTGGGCAATCTTGGAAAAAAAGCCATTTGCGATTGAGGATGAAAGTGATGAGAAGAAGAATGTGATGTTGGTAGCGGTGGAAGAGAGACAGTCCACCCTCTTGATGCAATTCAGGAAGAAGCCACACATCTGGAATCGGAAGCTCCACCAGGCAACCGATGTCCATGGCAATACTGCCTTGCACTTGGTTGCCAAGCTTTCTCGTCATAGGAATATACCTATGTCTGCCATTCACTTGCAATGGGAAGTACACTGGTTTGAGGTGTGTGTGTATGTGTGTGTGATCACTTAGCTCAATTAATACGAGTAATTTCTAGCTACCATTATTCAACTATACGTATGTATTTATGTATGCAGTATGTGAAGAAAATGATGCCGCCGGAGTTCAATGAACGGCAAAATAAGGAAGGTAAAACGCCGGGGATGGTCTTCGCAGAGGAACACCATGATCTGGTGAAAAAAAGTAACGAGTGGGTGAAGGAAATGTCCGGAAATCACATTGTGGCGGCGACGCTCATTTCCAGTGTGACATTTGCAACGTGCTACCAGGTGCCGGGAGGCTACGACGGAGGCAACGGCAGGCCGATTGTAGGCAATCGTTCTGAATTCCACATGTTTGCTATCACGGCACTAGTTTCCTTTTGCTCCTCCGTCACTTCCCTCGCCGCCTTTCTCGCCATTTACAGCTCTCAAAGTGATCGGCCCAGGCATTACCGGCGACGTCTGCCGTTGACTCTGTGCTTGGGTTTATTTTCTATGTTTCTCTCAGTTGTGTCCATGTTGATTTCTTTCTGTGCTGCGCATACCTTTGAACTTGTTGGCCCCATAAACAAGTCGTCTGAGTATGTCCCCTTGTACGTTGGCCTCACTTTGATCCCTCTCTGCTTTTACGGGGCAACTCAAATTCCACTCTATTGGCGTCTTCTCAGAGCTAGTGTTTCTCCTGTGCCACTCTCCAGGCCATTCTATGTGGAACAGTTAGAAGAAACACCACCAGATGAAGAGGAGAAGAACAAGAAGAAAAATGAAGACGCAGAGGCATCGGAAGAGTAGTTTAAATATTCTTCTGGTCCTAAATATAAGATCTTTTTTGTAGTACAAATTATATTATAAAAATAATATTATATTTAGGACTGGAGGGATAGTTTTTATGCTTTCTTTGCAAAATAAAGAGAATTTTATTATATATGTGACACAGTAGCAATTGATTATTTACAAATAACTTTATTTTGTTTTATATCAAACTACAACTTTGCTAATGGTTTTTTATGGGCTCTACAAATGCATCCAATTTCACGAACTTAGGTGATAAATCCCAAACTCATTATAACCGTTTAGATTTAAAAATTTTAATTAATTATTTTTAAATAAAAAATAATCAAGAAATTATTTTTATTTTAGATGAAAACAAAATAAATATAAGTCATACAAATCATGTTTAAATAATTCAGATCAGATAAGCTTATGTACTTATTATTTTGATGAGCATCCAAACCCATTTCCTAATTTCACCACATCAAAGCATGCATGCACTTCACATCTGGTCTACTTTGCATCTTTTACATGGTAACGAGAAATAATTAACTCAACTAATTTTTTTACTTTCTTAAATTAGTTAACTAGGATTAATATTCAGGACAAGCGGGTCATTCTCTATTTTAAATGTTCTCACTCATTCAGTGGGGCACACTCCTCTTCACTGCGCCGCTTCTGTGGGTCTCCCTCCTTGTGTCTTCACATCCTTGGGGCCCTTTCCACCGCAGAACAGGGAACCCGCGCCGTAATTAATTTAATCTCTTTTATTAATACATGATGCACAGATGATGAGATTGAATCTTAATTATTCTGTTTTTAATTAAAAACATGCTTCGTGATTCTTTTTTTGAAAATATTTTCCTGACGATATTAATGGTCTGAACTAAAATATATATTTTTTAAAATTTGAGAGAAAATATGTGTAATTAAAGCAAAATAAAATAGTGGTTAGGATATTTCACTCTAATTATTAACGTTGCAGAGTGTAACTAGAATAGAGAGCGGCAAGGGGCATCCATCTCTAGTGCTGCAACTTTTGAAATGTTTTTTTCCCCCCTATTCGTTATTAGATTTTACAAAAAGTAGGTGACATTCTGATATCTAATGTATGTTGCAGTTTTGAATTCTTCACAATTTCTATATATATAAATATATATTAACTGTGCAGTTTTAGATATTTTAAAAAAATCATTAAAAAATTTAGGTTCATACAATTTTTGGTCCTTCAAGTTTGTTTTTATTTTGGTTTAGAGATCTTTCAAGTTTCTTTTCATTTAAAATATTAGTTCTTATAATTCAATAAAAATTTAAACCATCTTGCCCATTGAATAACCAAAACCTATAGTTTGAAACTTGAGAGGCCAAAACTAAAATAAGAACACACTTGAGTTGCCAAAAATTACATTAGCCCAAAAAATTTAAACTCGCATTATTTCATAGTATATATTGAGACGTCACTTGTTTTAGATCAAATTTAAAACTTATTGATGATGATGATGATACTGAATGTTGATTATTAAGCTTCTGGTGCGCAACAACGAGGGAGAGACGCCTTTGTTCTTGGCTGCTGTTCATGGTCACCCGGCGGCCTTCCTCCTTCTCTATGGTCATGCAGAACGTGAGCATGCCACAGCTCCTTACGTGAAGCCCAATGGGGACTCTGCACTTCACTTAACCATTCAGCGAAAGTATTTCGGTCTGTGATTTTACTTATTTTAAAAATAAGTTAGTTAATTAGGTCTTCTACTTCCTTCACTTTAAAATGAAAGTTACTTTTTAGAAAATTTGTTTTAGTCCATAGTATAAATTATTTTGAGAATGATTAATACTTATTTGCTAATTTTATCCCTTTAATTAATGCTTAAATATGACTCCTCTAATTTTTCTCTCTTTCTTTCAAATCCTTAATATGGGTGGGGGCGGGGGAGGGGGAATTTCAATTGAAGACGGGTTTAATTACAAGTTATTTTTTCTTCCATAGTTCTGATGATGATGATATGGTTAAAAAGGACTAATATATTTTGGACTAGAGGCATTGTTTGTTTAGGATCGAATGGAACGGAATAATACGTTATTCAAAATTACATTAGGATCGAATGGAACGGAATAATACGTTATTCAAAATTACATTCTATGATGGTTTAGTTAATTAATGGAATCCTTTGCTTGATAAATAGTACTAAAGTATATACTACTTCCAATTTTTAACATAAGAATTAGTTAAAAATTTGATTGAGTCATAAATATAAGACCCCAATTAACTTTTTTTTAAAAAAAAATTTATCCATTTTGTCTTTGAATGATTTTTGTGGTGATTGCACATGTTGAGGAGTTACTATAGTAATTCAAGTACACGTGAAGAACAAGGTTGTATCAAGAAAAATAATATATATTTATTTTAAATAACTAATTTAACTAATTTTCTTAATATTCAAAAATTAGTTAGTTATCTAGCTTTTTATATAGTAATATAGTAATAGTACCTTCGATTTTAAATATAAGAGCTAGTTGACTAATTTGAGTAGATTGAAGAAATAAGTTAAGTTAGTTATTTATAATAAGTAGGTGTTGTTTTCTCTAAAATATCCTTACTAATCAAGTGTATTGGCTAGAACTATCATTATTAGAAGGATTACTAAAAAAATGTATAAATATGAGAGACAAAATATATTGAGGTTTTATATTGAGGATCAAAATAAAAGTTAATCTAGATCTTATATTAAGAAGTAATTGAATTGAATTCATCATTAATGCAGAATTATCATTACTATTAATGCGTCTCCTTCCCGACATGGTTTCCATCATCGATGGAAAAGGGCAGGCCCCTCTGGACATCCTGGCCTCTATTCCTTCGGCATTTAGGAGTGGCACTCACCTTGGCCGGTGAGAGAGGCTTCTCTACCGCTGTAAGTGCGCCCACCTCCATCAACCCATCTAGAATTTTAATTAATTTTCTTTTTTTTATTTAGCGTTATTCTTATTAATTAATTACTATCTTTGATTTTTAATATAAGAGTTACTTAACTAATTTGAGTGGATAAAAAAATTATTTAAGCTAATTATTTGTAACAAATATGAGTTTATTTTCTCAAAGTATTCTTTTTAATATAATATGACTATCTTTGAATAAAAATCTTTTAATGTGAGTAATTAATATGAATATTTTAAAAAATAAATTAAAATTTTAAAATAAAAAAAAAGTGAATTGAGGTTAGGATTCCTTGGGTCATAATTTTCGATCCCACCCTCTCTCCTCATAGGAAGTCATATCTGATGTGGCTGCTCATTCATATATATATATATATATATATATATATATATAATGCCAATTGGATGCAGCAGTGGATGACAAGGATAAAATTTCTAAAAGGAGTTTTTAATTTTTTTGAGTGGAAAAATTTATAAAAGGAAGTCAATGTTAACATTTTTAAGTCGGTTAAATACTATCTCCGGTTTTTAATATAAGACATTGTTTGACTTTTATTTTGATCCTAAATATAAGACCTCGATCTACTTTGTCTCTCATATTTATGTTTTTTTTCTCAAGATAATCCTTCTAATAATATTAGTGCTAACCAATATACTTGATTAGTAAGGATATTTTAGGAAAGACAACACGTATTTATTATAAATAATTAACTTAACTTATTTTCTTAATCTTCTCAAATGAGTTAACAAGTTCTTATAAATAGGACTGGAGGTAGTATTTAGAAATTGAGTCGTCCTCAATCATAATTAAATCGCGGGTCATGACTGACTTAAAAGTTAAAGCAGCCAAGAAGATTAATTTTTCTTAATTAAAATGACGTTGCTGACGTAATGATCATACTCCTATTTCCGAAGTCATCCCGATCCGTCCCTCCCCAACGTTTTGGGCGCGTTCAGATTGGGATTATGCTAGACAGCCTGATCAGCTTCCCACCCATGAAGCTCTTTTCGGATTCTCCCGATTCTCCCTTTTAGGGAGTAACATAGGTAGTTAATTATTAATTTTAATGGTTAATTATATCTTTTCATTTTAACAATATTTGACTCCTTATTATAAGTTGCATACAGAAGAAGTATTTTTAGTTCGAAACATAAGTTCATTTGAGGGTTATTACTGATTAATAATTATTTTTTCAATCTTACTCTTACTTAATTATCATTGGAAAGAAAAGAAAGAAAGAAGGTTCAGAGTTAAAAATTATTTATACATACAGGGAGAGAATTTTAATAAGAATAAACTTGAAAAAAATTATTAATTTGAGACATATTTAGTTATAATTTAACTATACGTGAAAATTAGTCAAAAAGGATTTACATATGGTAAGTAGGAGGGCTTGTTTGGAATCATGATCATAAGCACTTTTAATCGCATTTTATGTAAGTCGAAACAAAATTCTTCACACATACTCACCTCGTATTTTATAAATCACGATTAAAAAAGTGGCTCAAAAACTTAATATGTCCGTTCATGGTTGGCAGAGAAGACATTGAGACATGTATTTGGATTAGCGTTGGCAGAGAAGAAAAGGAGACATGTATTTGGTTCGCTGATCATGAAACAGCTGCTAGACAATGACGCTTTTTATGATAATTTGATGGAGATGGAGGTGTTGGGGATGGACGACGATCATCCGGCGAACTGACCAATGCTGCGTCCTTCATATAATAAAGGTACTTGGATCTTAAAAATAAATTTTAAAAAAAATGACTTTCTTTAATTAATTTTATTATTTTTGTTTACATGTGGGTAACTGATGATAAGTATGCATGCGCATCATTATTAGGATGGACACCACTGTTGAGAGCAACAAAATATGGTGCGATCGAAATGGTGTGGGCAATCTTGGAAAAAAAGCCATTTGCAGTTGAGGATGAAAGTGATGAGAAGAAGAATGTGATGTTGGTGGCGGTAGAAGAGAGACAGTCCACCCTATTGAAGCAATTCATGAAGAAGCCATCCATCTGGAATCGGAAGCTCCACCATGCATCCGACGTCCATGGCAATACTGCCTTGCACTTGGTCGCCATGC